AAATATTTATTTGTATAAATTAATTGTATAATTGTAATTAAATAATATGACTTTCAAAAGCTGAAGTGATTAATTTATTTGTTCGAATATGTATAACTCAATATTTTAACTAATTGCAAAAGATGAATAATCAAAAAATGTCTACTGATTAATCAGCGAAATAATTGATGATTAGTCGATTAATCGTTCTAATAATCGTTAGATTAATTGATTATCAAAATAATCGTTTGTTGCAGCCCTAAATATAATATAACATAACATGACCTTTTGTTGAATGTTAAAATTTCTGTGTAGGTCCGTTGGGGAGAGAAAGGGTCCACAGAGGAGGGTGCACGGCTAGAGAAGGCCAAGAATGCAGTGGTGTCAATACAAGAGGAGACAGAAGAACCCATGATCAAAAAGTCACCCACATCCCCTCACACATACCATCAATCTGAATCCAAGTGGTATACTCCAATCAGGGTGAGTCACTTCCTATTGCTGTTGAGGCCATCACCATCTTTCCTTTGCTTCCCTTTCCTCATTTTGAGTTTCAGTCTAAGTCCACATGAAAATGCCACTCTATGATGTTTGATGCCTTTGCTTGAGATTAGTAGAAAGCAAACCAAGCTGAGGCCACATCTTGATATATTTGTTTCATCATAGGGACGACTTCAGGCACTGTGGGCTCTTCTGCGGCGACAATATGACCGAGTTTCACTCATGCGCCCAACTACCGCAGATAAGGTAAGCCACAGACGGTTTACTCCAATGCAAATTGCAAACATGGTTCATCACCCTTACATACTACCAAACTAGAGCATTCCATTGCTGTAAATGGAGCATAACGGGATATCAGTGCGTGTTGTAACAGTTCAGGGCAGACAGACTGCTGGATTGTCAGCAGATGTAGTTTTTTCAAGACAGCCTGAACACTTTCTGCTCTCCCATTTACCGCCTGAGGGGCTCCAACACCAAAGGTAGCGTGGAGGGTGGACACAGCTGCACTGCCGAACTTGCCTGGGGCACAAATAAAGAGATCTAATGTGTTTTGACTGTGTTGTTAGGGAGACCGGGGAGCCAGAGAGGCACTTCAGAGCCATCTTAGCGCTGCAACATCTGCCGTCAAGTTTCCGGAAAGAGCGGTGGGGGACAGCAGGTAGAGAAGGTGGCAGCGCGTCAAGGGCTGGCCTATTACTGGCGGGGACTCTTTTGAACACACGCCCGCCCGCCTCTGTGTTTATCTCTCTCTCTCGCTCACGCCTCTAACTAACAGTCTTAGC